CGGGGTTCGGGAGTACGTTTCCTGCACTAGGCTCGAACTGCAAAGTTGCGACTTTCGAGCTGTGGCTCCGCAAGCACGTTGCCTCTATAAAGTTGCGACTTTCGAGCCGGGGCTCCGGGAGTACGTTTCCAGCACTAGGCTCGTGCTGCAAAGTTGCGACTTTCGAGGGAGTACGTTTCCTGTACTAGGCTCGCGCTACACAGTTGCGACTTTCGAGCCGGGGCTCCGGGAGCTAGGCTCGTGCTGCAAAGTTGCGACTTTCGAGCCGGGGCTCCGGAAGTACGTTTCGTGTAACAGTAGAGCCGGCGAAGCCGGTGGGCGGAAGTTTCAACAATATCAAATCTATAGTTCTCTTTCTCTTTCTTTTCTTGACTCTTTGTCTCCGTCATTTCTCTACCTATCTATACCTAACTACCTATCTATTTATCTCTCGTGTTATCTATCTATCTGCTTATCTATCTACCTATCTCCTCTATTTATCTTCTCTATCTATCTCTCTATCTCTCTATCTCTCTATCTATATCCCTTTATCTCTGTCGTCTACCTATCTATCTCTCTATCTCTCTATCTCTCTTTCTTTGTATCTGTCTGTCTCTTTATCCTCTTTCTTTCTATCTATTTATTTCTCTCTCCCTTTTTCTGTCTCTTTCTATCTGTCTGTTTATCTATCCATCTATCTCTCCATCTATCTCCTGCATATCTATCTATCTATCGATCTCTTTATCTATCTATCTATCTATCTATCTGTCTCTTTATCTGTCTATCTCTCTATCTATCTCTGTATCTCTTTATGTATCCCTCTGTCTACCTCTCTGTCTCTCTCTCTCTCTCTCTGTCTGTCTTTCTCTCTATCTATCTATCTATCTATCTATCTATCTATCTATCTCTCTATCTCATTATCTCACGTGTATTTATCCATCTCTATCTACCTATCTATCTATCTATCTATTTATCTATAGATCTGCGTATCTATCCATCTCTCTATCTACTTCTCTATCTCATTCTCTCTACCTATCTAGCCTATCTTTTTGTCTATCTATATATCTATCTATCTATCTATCTATCTATCTATCTATCTATCTATCTATTTATTTCTCTATCTATCTACCTACTTAGAAATCTCTTTCTATCTCTGTTTCTATCTATTTATCTAGCTCTTTATCTGTCTATCTATCTGTCTATCTATCTATTTGTCTGTTTATCGTTTATCTATCTATTTATTTATCTTTTTATCTATCTTTCTATCTATCTACCAGTCTTTTTCTTTCTATTTCTCTCTCTCTCTCTATCTCTCTCTCTATGTATCTATCTGTCTCTCTATCTATCTATCTATCTCTTTCTCTATCTCTTTCTATCTTGACTTCGCGTACTTTCGTACTTAACAGTTGCGATTTTCGAGCCCCAGCTGCGAAAGTGGACTTCACGCACAACTTTCGTACTTAAAGGTTGCGATTTTCGAGCCCCAGCTGCGAAAGTCACGTGCTACTTTCGTACTTAAAAGTTGCGATTTTCAAGCCCCAGCTGCGAAAGTGGACTTCACGTACTACTTTCGTACTTAAAAGTTGCGATTTTCAAGCCCGGCTGCGAAAGTGGACTTCGCGCACTACTTTCGTACTTAAAAGTTGCGATTTTCAAGCCCCAGCTGCGAAAGTGGACTTCACGTACTACTTTCGCGCTTAAAAGTTGCGATTTTCAAGCCCCGATGCAAAAGTTGACAGCGTCTATGGACATGTTGTGGAAGATCTAATCCCTTGCCCCTGGCCCCCCCAAGACTAAGTGGGTCCCCTGAAGAAAAACGGTTTGAGCGTTAGGGAGTCCCCGGTTTGTTTTCGGAAAACCATGAGAGAAGAATAGTTAAGTCCTTGTTCTTTATGTGCAGAGAGAAGGGGAGAGAGGGAAGCAGACAGCCAGGTTTCCAGAAGCATGTCGCGGAAGTGTTTGACTCTCCGCAACCAGCAGGCCAGCAAGCCTCCTGTAAGACCGCCACTAGGCAGCAAGTTGTAGTACGAGCCTAGTGCCGGAAAAGTACTCCCGGAGCCCCGGCTCGAAAGTCGCAACTTTGTAGCACGAGCCTAGTCAAAGCAAGTTTAGAAGGAAACTTCCGAGTTACGGAAACCAATTGAAAGCTAGATGGTGCAGGGAAGGAAGAAGAAAGAATGAAAGGCGCGCGAGAGAAAACATGCTTGTGCGTGTGGTGAGGGAATAGAATTTGCGAAAAGGAGCAACCCTCTGCGGGTTTGGTGGTGTGGAGCTGGCTGAAAGCTACCTCAGTCGCGGCGTCTGACGGACGACGGGTGCGGGACGTGCTCGGGACGGGCTCGGGACGGGGGTGGCGCCGGGACCATTGGCACGGCAACGCAGAGGTTTCGCAAGGTTTGAATTGCGTGGCAGGCGTAGCATTTTGGTGAGTCGGGTGCAGATTTCGTGGCAGGCGCAGCACTTTCGCAAGGTCCTTTTCTCAAGGTTTGAATTGCGTGGCAGGCGCAACACTTTCGAAAGCTCAGGTGCAGATTTCGTGGCAGGCGCAGCACTGTCGCAAGGTCAAGTACACATTTCGTGGCAGGTGCGTCGCTTTCGCAAGGTCAAGTAAAGATTTCATGGCAGGCGCAGCACTTTCGCAAGGTCAAGCACAGATTTCGTGGCAGGCGCAGCACTTTCACAAGGGCCTGTACATATTTCGTGGCAGGTGCAGCACTTTCGCAAGGTCAAGTGCTAACTTCGTGGCAGGCGCAGCACTTTCGCAAGGTCAAGTGCAGAATTCGTGGCAGGTGCAGCACTTTCGCAGGGTCAAGTGCAAAATTTGTGGCAGGCGCATCACTTTCGCAAGGTCAAGTACAGATTTCGTGGCAGACGCAGCACTTTCGCAAGGTCAAGTACAGATTTCGTGGCAGGCGCAGCACTTTTGCAAGGTCGAGTCTCCAGCAAGAGATCCGGCGCAAGAAGATGCAGTGTAGTTCTTGTAGAGGACCGCCCATCGAAAGCCAAGCAAGAAACCTTGCGCGCAGGTCCTTGAGGGAGTTCCTCCCGACAAGCGCCCCAGACGTGAGTCAGGGGAGCGCCCGCCTTCAGGTCCTTCTCGCCTGCGCAGCCTTGCTTTACCTACTTTGCTTCCTGTCATGGGCCCTGCGTGGCCTTGCGGTCGGCGCGTGGTCTTACTTTGCCCTGCGTGGCATTCTGCTTCACCTACTTTGCTTCTGTCATCGCCATGGCCTTGCTTCACCTACCTCGCTTCCTGTCATGGCCCCTGTGCCTTCCGCGGCCTTACTTTGCTCTTTGCTTCCTGTCATTTGCACACTTTGCTTCTGCTTTGATTTCTGTGGCCCCCGCGCGGCCTCGCCCTGCTTACTTGGCTTCTTGTTTTGCCGTGTCTTGCTTACTTGGCTTGCTGTTTTGCCCTGCAAGGCCCTGTTTCCTTTTTCGGCCCTTGCGCGCATGGCCTTCTGTGGCCTTGGCGTGGCCGTTCTGCGTTTCTTGTTCAGCGTGCTTCCGTGCCCCGGGTGGATTGCTTTCTTTGCAGTTTGCCTCACTTTCGCCGCCCTTGGGTTTCCAAGTTGTTCATGGTGTGGCCTTTGTCTTGGCTGTCAAATTTAGCTTTGGCTGGGGGGAAGCGCGGGCCTGGCCCTTCACTACCAACCAACCAACCAACCAACCAACCAACCAACCAACCACCAACCAAACACACACACACCAAACCAAACCAAAGCGAACCAAGCCAAACCAAGCCAGGCCAAGCCAAGCCAAACCAAGCCAAACCAAACCAAACAAAACCAACCAACCAACCAAACAAACAAACAAGCAAGCAAGCGAGCGAGCAAGCAAGCAAGCGCGCAAGCGCGCAAGCGCACAAGCGCACAAGCGCACGAGCGCACGAGCGCACGAGCGCATAAGCACAAGCGCACAAGCGCGCAAGCGCACGAGCACACAAGGACACAAGGACACCAGCGCACAAACACACAAACGCACAAGCGCACAAGCGCACAAGCGTACAAACACACACACACACAAGCGCACACACACAAACACACACCAACACAAACAGACACACACAAACAAAAACAAACAAACAAACAAACAAACAAGCAAGCAAACAAACAATCAATCAAGCAAACAAAGAAAGAAAGAAAGAAAGAAAGAAAGAAAGAAAGAAAGAAACAATCAAACAGACAAACGCGCACGCACACAAACACACAAACCATCACACAAACAAACACACACACAAACACAAACACAAACAAAAACAAAAACCAACAAACACAAACAAACACAAACAAACACACACAAACACAAACAAACACAAACAAACACAAACAAACACAAACAAACACAAACAAACACAAACAAAAAACAAACAAACAATCAAACACAAACAAACAAAAACAAATACACAAACAAGCACGAACACACACAAATACACACCAACACAAACAAACACAAACAAACAAAGCAAACACACACACAAACACAAACACAAACACACGCAAGCAAACAACCAAACAAACAAACAACCAACCAACCAACCAACCAAACAAACAAACAAACAAACAAACAAACATACACACAAACACACAACCACAGACAAACAGACAGACGGACAGACAGACAAACAAACAAACAAACAAGAAACAACAAATCCAATGAAGCAAACAAACAAACAAAAACAAAACAAAACAACAGAAACCAAACTAAATCAAATTAAGCCAAACCAAACCAAACCAAACCAAACCAAACCAAAAAAAACAAACAGCATTGCAAACAACATTACAAAAACAAAAAGCAAAACAAAACCAACACAAACCATCACAGCAGAACAAAACACAAAACAAAAACCAAAACAACAACAAAACAAAAAACAACACAAACAACAAATCAAATTAAACCAAACACAACAAAACAACCAGCCAGCCAGCCAGCCAACCAACCAACGAACCAACCAACCAACCAACCAATTTAAATTGTTTGGGGTCCCTTACGGGCGCATTTTTTGGTTCTGCGTTTGTCAGGTTGGATCCTGGCATGTCCAGGCCAGAGCGGCACTGCGCTGCGGTTGCATCCGGATGCTCTGGCTGTTTCAAACGCATGAGAATTATGTGGTTGCTAGCAGCCATCCATGCATCCTGCATCATTTGGCTTGGTGAGCCCGCAGAATGCTCTGGGCATCGACGGAGTAACAGTGCTGCTGCAAGTTGCGCCAAGGCATGGACACTTTCTATTAAGCTGTCGAATTTTGATTTTTTCCGGAGGTCCTCTACAAGCTGCGATGAGGCCACTGCCTCAAAGCAGATGCGGACATGCTGTCGACGTATGGGTTGGCATCAGGTCCCTGGACAGATTCATTACTTGGGCAAGAAGACGCAGTGCGAACTGGAGAGCTTGCTTTTAGCTTGGCATGTTTCTTTGGCCATAGCTCAAGGTACACAATTTCAGCGGAGCCTTTAGATGCGGGCAAACTGCATGTCAAATTTCTGAACAACGAGGCCATATTCGGCTGCAGTTGGCGCTTGCCGTTGCAGCCATCTACTTTTGGACTGCTATGCCTTTTGGCTCAGGCTATTATGCTCAGTTATATCTTGGCATTTGAAGTCAGAGTGGTCCAAGTGGTCCAAGTGGTCGTCTTGACTTCGATAGACCTCTCTCAATTTGCCAGCGTGAGGAGATGCTAGAGCGCAATATTGCATGCAATTGCTTTGAGCATGGCGCCCAACCTTGCTGTCGCAGCCACACTGCCGATCCTTGGCCTTTTCAGTGGCCCTTGCAGGTTTGCTACGCACGCTTGCCAAGCCCAGGATTGCGGGTGTTGCCGCTTTGTTGGGCAGACCTAAGAGACTTGGCCTGACTTTTTGAGACCATTTGACTTTCGAACGTGCGGGGAATATCTAAAAATGGGCACACGATTGGCAGGCTCTGGATTCAGGTGGTGTGCCCAATTATCACTTCGCTGATCAGGAGTGCCGACAGAATTGCCGAAAGCGTCCTGCCCAGAATTTGTTTGCGCCTGCAGTACCATCGTGTCCCTTATCGTCTTGTTCAGCGTCGCGCTTCATCCACAAGCAAGCGCTCTCATCAATGCAGGATGGCCAGGCTTGGCAATGACAGGCGTTTTGGAGAGGACACGCGGGAACATGCAAGAACCCCAGATTCCAAGAAAGTTGGCTGGTCAAGCTCTCGCCCTCTGCAATTCCTTCGCGTTTGCTGCAATTGCACGTTTCGGGTGTGTAGGATGGATCTCCTGGACATCAGCAGTCCTTATGGTTCTTGCTGAAGTGGCCCTCGTGAACCTTGTCCTCATGTTAGCCGCTTTCCTACAGTGCTCTGAATGGTGTTACGGCATATGCTCTGTGAGCAAGGTGCTCTTCGGGTGTGTGCTGGAGCTCAATCGAAGTCGGCTTTGGATCGTGGCTAACGCCACCTTGGACTAAGGTGCAGTCGAAGATACAGCGCGCAATCTTGGAAGAGATCTGCACTCAAGTGTGGTCCCCGCTGAAATGCACAAGCTTCGCTGCGACTGAGGAAAGGCATCATGCAGGCATTGCGAGCAGAATGTGCTGAGCGTGGGCAATCGTTGCCAGAGGTCTGTGATTGCGTTGCGAAGTTGCGAATCAACTTGTCCGATCGCTGCAGAGGTGAATTGTTGCAGAGACGTTGGGCATGCTCTTCTATTTCTGCTGGGCAGGCCAGCCGGCTTTGTGTGTCCTTTATGTCTCCTTGAGTTTGCTGAGGCTTCCCCTGATGATTGTCACCCTTCCCTTGCACAGCGTTCCGGTGCTGGGTCAGGCACCTCGGCCATTCAGTTGCCTCTAGATTTGCCTTCTGGTTGTTGGAGAAAGTGCCTCAGATTGCCTGGGTCCTGGTGAACGGCTGGATCTATGCCTGGGAGCTAGAAGCCGAATTCATGGTCTTGTAGAAGCCTCAAAGTGCTGCGTAGCGTGTCAAAGAGCACCAACGAGCAGCAAAAATGACTACTTAACTTCTGGAGCGAACCTCAAAGCACAGTGCAGCAGCCAAGTGCTCGAGAACGTCATCGATGCAATGATCAGTGGCAATTTGTTCGAGCTCGGTTCGGTGCATTTGCAGGACTGCGTGAGGGAGTCTTGAGCTTGCCTTCGCCATAATGAGATGTTGTGAGCAGGTTTTGGTGCTACAGCCATGGCACTTGAGCTGAATCTTGGCGCTCTGAGTCAGCTTGCAATCTAGCACTGATATCTGACGGGATGGAAGAATGGTTGAGAACTACCTCAGGATTTCAGCTCCGCGCTTGACCCAAGGATTCCATTTGTGGGTCCCTGGATCTTCTTTGCGTCAAATGCTTGCGGAGCAGCTCTTCTGGCTGAGAATTTCTTCAAGGCGCGACATTGTCTCATGTAATTGTCTCATATCACAATGTCACGATATCATTTCAAGGCATGTCACTTCGAGCAACTGGCAACATCATTGGCAGTCTTGGGAGGACCCAAATTTCAGGCAAATAATAAGGGGACAACCCTGTTGCCCATGTTCTGCGGAGGAACAGATAATTGATGTCCGTGGGTCACATTGCGTTTCATGGCCTGTGATGACATGTCATGAGATTCTGTGGGAATTTAATGGCAATTCACAACATCAGATGCCATTTCATGGGATGTGATCACATTGCACGAGATTCCGTGCATTTCGTGGCATTTCGCGGCATAATATGGACGGTTCATGCATTGCATGGGATTTCGCGGCATTTCGTGAAATTTTGCGGCATGCATGACACGGGTGTTTCATGGGATTCCGCGGCATTCCATGCATGTAGTGGCATGACACGGCGGTCTATGGCGGATTCTGTGGCATTCCGTGGCGGTTCGGGGCATGACATTGGCTTCCATGGCATTGTTTATATCTATTCCAAGCATACCACAGATTGCACATATGATGAGCCCATCAGACCGTTACAGTTTGATTGCTTCAGGTCAAACATAATATGCAGTGTCACAACGAATGATTGTTCAATGTTAGTGCCTGGCAGGCTTTGGGTGACATGGCATCATTCAAGTAGGATTTGCACACTTGACCAGAATGCGCCCACGTATCGTTGTCTGACTGGAAATTTTGGGCGATTTGGGGTGAGGACTGGTGATGCCTTGTGCGCGAACGATTTCGAGAGTGCAACGTTGATTGCGTAGGCTGTGAAGACCAGTCATGTGGTGGAAGTGGAGCAATTACTGTATGCGGGCACACCGCACCTTGTTGGTAATGTTCAAGCCCAGGAGACACATACAAGCGAAGGCACTGGGTGGAAGAAGCCTTCTGATGGCGCTTCTGTCCTAGGCTCGCATGGGAATCGTGGGGAGATTGTTTTTCCGGTGTTTGCTTCCTCGAGATGAATGCAGCATCAACACGGCCAGGTGTCTCAAGCTCTGAGGGGACAACGCAAGCTAGCTAAGTTCAGAATTCCACGAGATGCATGTTTCCAGAACAGAAAAGTGTGTCTCACATGCTGTGCTTGCCCTGCTGACTTGAGATAACAGCATTGAGCAATCTACGGTACACTTGTCACTGTGACTGGGCACAGGCAGATCCGGCATACTTTCATGAGGGCCACTATGACATAACCAAGGATGCTCTCTCTGAGGACCGCCTTGGATCTTACAACTGGATTTCTTCCCTTTCCCTTTCGTCAGGATCTTGGTATGGTCAACGGCATGAAGCAGAATGAGAACATGTCGACCACTTAGGATGGTTCCAATCCGTTTGATTGCGGTGGTGTTGTCACTATCCTCTATCCAGGCAGCTGGACTTCAAGCGAATGCATTAAAGTCGAAAAAGTTTAGGCGCCAGATGTGGAATAGTTTTTTTTGTCTGTCTGTTCAAAGACCCGCAGAAAGGGTTAGACACGTTTATTGCGGGGCGGGCTTCATCCAATCCCTTGTGTCTACTGTATATATGCAAGCTTTGCGCTCATACATTGCGTGTTCACACAGTGAGATTCTTTTATTGGGCTGTTCGTTTTCTTTTGCAGGAATCCAGGAAGATTAGTTGTGGGAATGCTGCATAGGGGCGAAGGGCCATGGCCCTTAGCAAGCAGGTGCTTAACTCTTTTTTCTTCTGAAGGCAGAATGCTGTTTCTACAGTCTCCATGCCATGCTCGGCCCAAGACTTGTTCTAGAGGACTTGCAGGAAATATTTCATGGGTGTAACGCCCTCAAAGGCTGTCACATCCAAAGAGAGTGGCGGTGGCCGGAGCGAATGCCTGTCATGGGGCTTCAGTGGCATGCAAGGCTGGCGCCCACGGATGGAAGACTCACATTTTGCATTCGGATCGTTAGGTAAATTCGGTGGCGGTGATTGGGCCGACACGGCCGCCTTCGGCGTTTTGGATGGCCACGGAGGGCGCGAGGTTGCCTTCTTTTGCCAGCAGAGGCTGCCAAGTGCCATTGCGCAGCAGGAAAGAAGCAATCCTGAAGCTGCCCTTGTGAAAGCGATTGAAGGTATGGACAAGCTTTTGGGCATGGAGGAGGAGCATGCGTATTTGCGATCCTTTACAGGAAAAACGCGAGAATGCCATTTGGAGGGGCCTTACAGAGTTGGATGCACTGCAATTGTTTGTTTGGTTCAGCCCGACTGCATCATCGCGGCAAACGTGGGCGATAGCAGGGCAATACTTTGCAGACAGGGCCTGGCAGTGCCACTGTCAGAAGACCACAAGCCCAATCTTCCAAGTGAACGCCACAGAATTGAGCTTGCTGGCGGTTCTGTAGAGCGGCAACAGATTGGTGAGTTGGTTCAATATAGGGTCAATGGCAACCTCAATCTATCGAGGTCTATCGGTGACCTAGATTACAAGCGAAACCCACGGCTTTCACCATGCGAGCAGATCATTAGCTCCACCCCAGACATTGTGCAGTGTGCCAGGAGTCCAAGTGACGAGTTCTTATTGCTTGCTTGTGATGGCGTATGGGATATGATGAGCAACCAAGATGCTGTAGACTTTGTGAGCGCAAGGCTGCAAAAAGTCCGTGAAGGCCAGCCCATTGCTTTGATCACGGAGGAGCTCCTAGATGCCTGCTTTGCGCCCGACTTGAGCAAGACTGGAGGCCTGGGCGGTGACAACATGACAGCATTGCTTGTCCTTCTGAAAGATCCGGAGGACTACAAAAACATGCAACCATTTGCGACGGCCAAAGTGCCACAAGTGTCACTTCACAGTGTTGCTAGCAGGCTCCCATCCAGTGTATTCTGCAGTTGTCAGCCAGACGCTATGAGCAGATACAGCCTTTGACAGACTCGACCTGGATGTGTCATATCACCTCGGCATTGGGCCACTTCGGTCAGCTAGAGGCACACGTAACATTGAAGCGAGGGGCTTCGTTATCCCTAATAAGGGGATATCGATGGTCCCCGGTTTCCTCTGTGACATGTTGGCAAACACAGTGGTAGGAGAGTGTTGATGAACGCTCAGAAACCCCCAAAGTGGGAAGGCTTGAACATTGGCTAGAAAGGGCGTATTGCGAGCTCCAACTACGAGAGCTTGATCTTTTGCTAGCTTTGGATCAAGACATACTCATGCAGTAAGATGGATCGGGAGTATCACAATATAAGCTTCCTGACGCATGCATGTCAATGAAGACCATATTTGCCTTGATGCTTGCCACATTGGCAAAGAGCTAGATCCAGTATCGTTATCCTGCGGCACATGCAGAAAGGGGTAGGCATGCAGCCTGCGAAGCCAAATGTTGAAGTACTTTGTGCTGAGCTCAGTATAGCGCAGCAGTTTGCAGAACTGCGCTGGGCATGTTGACGATGTGCTTGTCTGAGGTGAAGCTGAAAGAGAAACCTCAGCCGCCAACGTTCCTCGACTGAGTTTTGAATGACAATTCTTGGAATTTAGCTTTGAATGCCCTTTGCCCAGCTCTGACGAACACCGAGATGGAAACTTTAAGAGTCCTCGACACATGTTGTTTCACATCAAAGGAGCTGCTGCGAGTTTGCGTCGAATTTCCCGGAGCCAAGAGGCCTGCACAAGCTCACGAAGCAGGTGTTATTTCGCACAAGGCAGCAGAGGGACGCCAAAGTTAGCATTGCACTGTTTCCATGAATCCAATCATGCAGTTGGCAGGTTGTGAGCAGTGGTGAGCACAGCCCAGCCACAGACTTAGCGACACAACCCTTCGTGTTTTGAGAGTAACATTCGGTGGCTTGTCTTGTCAAGGGTGAAAGGAGAAGCCTGGAAGAACAGGAGTTGGAGGCAAGGACAGCGAGGAAAGAAGACGAAGAAGAGGAGGAGGAAGAGGAGCAGGAGGAAGACGAGGAGGAGGAGGAGGAGGAGGAGGAGGAGGAGGAAGACGAAGCAGTGGACAAAGACAAGGATGAACTCACAAGTACTTCTGATAAGACCTCGCAATGTAGGACAGAGAGGAGAGCACCTGATGACGGTGCAAGGGCACTCAGCAAAGTGGACGTGACGCTGCCGAGGCAACCTGAACGCAGCAAAGAGCAGGACATTGACAAAGGCAAGAAGGAGGACGAGGAGGAGGACGAAGAGGACGAGGAGGAAGAGGAGGCGGAGGAGGAAGATGAGTGGGAGGATGATGAAGTGGTGCCAGAGCACGATTCATTCGAGCATGAGGTCAAGGCAGAGCATTCAGCCATTGCCATTGCCCAAGTCCATGCGCATGTACCGAATGAACTTGAAAGCCTTCGCGCTCAGCTGGCTGCTCACTCTGACAATGTCAAGGCCATGCAGCAGAAGCTTCTCGAAGTCCGGGAAGCTTCGGAAGCTTCGGAAGCTTCGGAAGCTTCCCGGGTCAAATCGAAGCCTTCGGAGCCTTCGGCGCCTTCGGCGCCTTCGCCTTCGGAGCCAGAGCCTGGGATGCGATGCCAGCTGCAGGGCGTGCGGCAGGAGCACCGCGAGGCCAGAGCAGAGCTGAAGGCCATGCGCAGCTTGCGTAAATCGAGCTTGGGCATGTCAGACATGTCGGACATGTCGGACATGTCCCATTCGGATGGCTGGAATGCCAAAGGCCCATCCCATGACCAAGTCGCCTATTGGTCTTGGCACTGCCAGAACCTGAGGGAGTGTTTGGCCCAGTGCAGGGAAACTGCTCAAACGGAGCGGGCCTTGATCGGCCAACTGGAAGATGCAAGTGTCGCAGAGCGCTCAGCGGCCAAAACATTTGCAGAGGAATTATCGGACCAGCGAGCCTCGGCAAAGCGCTTGAAAGCAGCTGAACGAGCAGCGGCAAAAGAAAATTCTGCTTTGGCAAATAGATACTGGGAAGCCGCTCCGTTCATCGTGGAGACGCAGACACGGCCTCAGCCACGCATGAGATCTCACACAATCTCACACATATCATGTATGACACGACCCAGGCTTCAGATGCAGCAAGAAGCAGCTGCTGAGGAGCAGGATGTTGCTAGCCTTGAAGGCTGGACTCTATGGCATCAGCTGGACTCACTTGAAATTCCAGAAAACAACGCAAAAACATGGAAGCTGAAAGGGGATTCAGCAGCCCTTTGTCCACCCACCCATGATTTCCGGACGGAAGGGGATGGTTTTATTTCGTTTGGCACCTAGTCCAGCCCTAACTTGGCAAAGCCCAGGCCAATCCCAAATCGTGCCCCAACCCCGCACCTAAACCCCCTAAATCAGCTTAAGTCAAAGCCTTACCGTTGACAGAAGCTGGCCCGACCCCAAGCTCAACCTAACCCACTAAATCAATCCTAACCCCAAACCATCATTGTCGTTGAGCGGCACTGAGGCTTTCCTGCTCTTGAGTTTTCAAATGACCAGCCCCGTATGATCTTTGGTATCTGCCCTCACGTTCTTCGGTGTTGGCGTCTCCGGCGCGCTGAAAACCACCTCGGTCGCGACGCCTGACAGGCGCTCCTGCGCCAATAGGAAAATAGATAGACAGATGCTTCACGGGATTCCCCGTCAAATCCGGGACCCTCGCATCCCTCGTTTGCCATCCAGGTTTCGACTGCCAACCAGCAACCCATTTGAGCCACAATCAAAACAGCTGTTTCAGCCTCAAGCCTTCCCGCGGTGACAGCTGTTAGCTGTTCGGTAGGACCTGACCCCTCCTTGGTCATGGCCCCATCACCCGGACAGTTACAGATTTGGGGACAGGGGTTGATGTTGGCCTTTCTGCTTTTTCATGTTTTCCTTATCTCTTGGAGGTGTGGATGAGGGGATTCTGGAGGAATCCCATGTGGGAGATTGTTACTCTTTTGTTGGTCTGTTTTCGAAGATGTTCATGGTGATTTGGAATGGTGTGTATTTTTCTCCTGGAAAAGCAGCCTATTGGACCTCCCTCGTATGGAGCAGAGTGAGGACCACTAAGGACTGCAGAAATGAGCTGGTTCTATTTGGTATTTATGATTATTGGTGGATTTTGGTTGGTATTCTTCTTCGTCGGCGGCCTTTTGATGCGGTTCTCGAGCACCTCATCGTCGGCGCCTTTGGTATTTTATTTATTTCTTTATGCCGGTATCTTCGCGGAGGAGCTGCGTTATTGATGCGCGTATTGATGCTCATTCTACATGAAGCAGATGAGATACAGGCTGGGTGTCGTATTTGGGTACAGGGGAGGTGCAGACAGACCGCTTGGATCCCCTTTCGGCTCCCTTTATTTGTGATTATTTGGGCCTCATGCACCCTTGAAATGGATTGGTCTATTCGCGGGTGCTTACCCCACAATGGCTTCCCTGAGCATGCTGTGGGTGTTTATGTGGGACATTCTGCTCTGTTGGGATACCCATATGGCTCAATCAGTGCATCAGCCATGGAAGCAGCCCTTGTGGCGTGAGACTTCTGAGTGGCTGGCTGATTGCCGGTGTGGCGGTCACCATGCTTGTCATGGTATGCGTGCAGGCGCTGCACAGGATATGGGCCCTTCTTGTCCGAGCTTGCAATTGGAGGACGAGCCGCATGGCGAGGAGAGCTTTGACCTTGACAGGTTTGGGCAGCACCTCGATGGTCCCACGGCGGCGTTCGGGACGGTCACGGGCAGAATTTTGAGCAATGCGGGGAGATGCAACTGCTTTTAGTATGCAATCAGTCAACTTCGCTGTGGACACGCAAGGAGCTGGAGGAAGATCAAGAAGCAGGTGCTTGGCAACTCCACCCTGGAGATCCAGAAGAAGCTCAAAGCAGGAGGAAAATGGGCTGATGAGGATGCAATCCAAGCAGCAGCAGATTTTTTGAAGCAGGAAATCTGGGTGGTCAATGTGGGCAACGGGTGCAACAATAATCACACCGGACAGGTAGTGAGGTTTATGCCTGCAGTTCAGGACATGCAGATTAAGCCGATGGTGCTCAGGCTATTGAACTATCACTTTGAGGCTATTCGGGTGAACAGTATGTGGCATGGGAAGCCTACAAGCGGTCCCCATTTGACATATATGCTCACACTGCTGCACAGGATGCTCACACCGGCTCTGATCTTCGTGGAGGAGGAAAAGGAGTCGGTAAAGGACAGAACAGGGCGCAATTTGCGGACATTCCAGGAGTTACATACGATATCAGCCGGCACCTTTCTTTTGTTCTTCGGCATGGAGCAATGAAGGAGGGGATCACGATGGACAACAAGGGCTTTGGGCTCGAAAGCCACATGCCTCGATTGACACTGTCCTGCAGGCGGTCAACAAGTGCGAGAAGGGAAGATTCGAGCTTCATCAAGGGGAAGACGGCTGGTTCATACGGGCCACCCAGAACCACGCAACAAGGAGTTGGACCTCAGCAATGACATGCATCGACGTATCACTTTGGTGGAGGAGGTGGATCAGGCTACTCATCTATCAGGCGACAAGGGCTACGCTGTGGTCATAGACAGCATGTTCATTTCAGCACTACGTACCGTGAACCATGAGCAATCCGGCATGCGACCGGGGTGTGACCTTGTGGTAGCAGTTGCTTGATGCAGAGGCCCCCCTGTTCAAGTCTACCAATGGGGTTTACTTGGTTGGCCAGATTTTCCACCTTGAGCTACTTTACAACGTATATTGGGCTCGTGGACCTCACGACTACAGGATGATCTGGCAATATGGATATAGATGAGGAGCACGCTGAGCCTGCGGACCAGGCCTCAGGTTCCGATGGCTATCGTGGCTTGGGAGAAATGTGGAGATGAACCCTCATGGCAGAGGAGAGTCAGGCTCAAACCCAGGTCCAGATTGGCCTGGAAGGACTCCGCTGCACAACATCGCCACGTAGACGTCCCCTTCCTAGGCTGAGAAGAGATGTTACAGGTGGTGGCGGCGCAATCGGCACAATCCAGGTAAAGCAATATTGGTGGGACCGGTCTTCTATTGGGTATTTGGCTTCATTATTTATCTTGGTATGAGCGCATTTGAACCAATGGTACAACTGGGCCTCATGGGTATTTGCAGCATCGAGGGAGGTGGAGGAGATGATTATTCATACTATTCCCCGATGAGGAGGAGAACGCGCGTGGCACCCTCTCGGAGAAATCAGACAAGAGAGAACCGGCATGGAGAAAGCATGGCAAGGATCGGCGACGTACGAAGGTGCACTTTGCCGACACCGGTACAGTGACCACGGCCCCGAGGTATGAACGACCTCGTGAGGGCACCCCGCCGCCGGCTAGGACAAGTGGAGGAGAACAGCAGCTTCACAACAAAAAGCGGCGCAAGTCCAAGAAGATCTTTGTTGAAGACACTGATCCTCGGCCCCCCTCCCCCGCATAAGACGGGTTGAGACGTGGCGGAAAGACGATCCCATGCTGAGCATTGATGGACGCCTGGCATTGCCTCGCAAAAGATCCTTACATGGGGGTATGCTGGAACAGGAGGTACCTCTGCACCTTATGAGACTGGCACAGTATTTGCAGCTCGCCCCATTCAATGAAAATCTGTTTCCTTTGGATCAGTGTAGGACATATGCCCGAATTGTGGCTGAGAAGACCCGAACAATTATGACCCTTACCAAGATGTCTGAAGCCCAAGTGCTGGGACTCAAAACTGCTTGTCGGAAACTCATGGGTAACGCAGTGCAGCAGACGAGGGCCAAGCAGTTTCTTGACTAAGAAGATGAAAGGGATGTTAAAGACGCGGTTGCTCTGGCCACCTTGCATGTCTCTGAACAGGACCAGCAGGCTCTTGTTGACAAGTTTGTGAGTTGGAAGATCAAACCAATGCATTTCATCCCGGAAAGCTCATCGGCCACGATTGCAGGTATGCTTGGGATTGACGAGTATACTGTTGAAAAAGTGAGATCCATTCTAGGCTGGTTGGAGGGGTCGGCGCGATGAGGAGTCTATCACTTCTGATTCCTCTGCCTTTCACATGCTTGACAGATGTAGGGATGCCCAATCTGCTTTTGATGAAGCTATTCAATTGCAAAGCACTCTGAGGAAAAGAAATCGAAGAATGGCTAGATGTTTGAAAAGACAACAAGAAGTCATTGAAGAGCAGCAAGATACCATTCGTAGGCTCCGACTTGCCGCTTCAACCGGCCCCCAGATCACCCGACAGGATTGCAGGAGATTCTCGACCCATCCCTGTTCGTGCTATTGAGGTCTCCCCAACAATTCCTTTCACTGTTGATGAGGGGAGTCAAGAGAATTATGGACCGGACCGTCCCCGCGACAGGTCGAGCAGATTGGCTACACAGCCATATTGTGTCGCCTCTGGGCGGCTTGAAATTGACAGAAGACCAGCAGTATCCTATGAGCCTATTGGAGATTTCTCAGACCTGGAAGGTGGTGTTCTTATTTATCATATGAGGTGGTCTGATGCTGGTATGATGGACATTTTCCTCTTGATGCCGGACCAGATCATTGGTGGAGGAGGTACAGCCGAGGCCGAAGCGGTTGGTAACGCAACAGAAGGTTCTGAGAGCCGACGTTGAATTTGCCCCCAAACAGATTAGAGCCCTCTTGGTTCTGGATTCAAAGCTTCGGGAAAAGGTCCTCAGCAATGATGGGCAAAATCAGATCAGGGATATGATCAGGGCCTCTGCGAAAAGGATTGGCATGCAACCTGAGAGGAGCGTTCCTGCCCCGACTGATGAACAACACGCTCAGAAGTGGAAAATTGAAAAAGGAGGCAGAGGCAACGGAAATGGCAAAGCGCAGAACCAGGATCCCTCGAAAGGAAAAGGAAAGCGCAAGGACGAAACTGTTCAGGACAGACAGGACAAAGGCAAAGGTCGTGAGGCTGGAAACAATGCCAAAGCGAAAGGGAAAAAGGGCAAGGACAGTTGCCTGAGCCTACCTTTGAGCTGATACCAGAAGATTGGAACTGCCCTACCAGGACTGTTTCTGACTTCAATCCGGCCGCTCATGGTCTGTATTTGGTCCAAGATGCAGCGGTGGCCCAAGAGCTTGCCAGCAAAGTCAAGAACGACCAATTCAGTGTTTCCTTTATCATGCCACAACCACATGCTATTGGGAAAAAAGCTCCT